CTACTAGTTGATACGTCATTAATAGATTTAAAAGAAACTCGCTTTTGTTTTCCATTAGCATAAGCATCACAGATTTTATCATTATCAAATTTAAGCTTAGGCAACCCTCGAACTAAATCACCTTGAATTAGCCGTTGCAAAACACTCATACTAGCATGTCCTAGTCTCCTATTCCATAACCAACTATCATGTTCATCCTTAGCAACTATGCACAAATTAGTCATATCAATAGAATCTAAATGCACCATGTATATGTTTCCTATTCTATGACCAACAAGCATAACCGATTAGATTCAATGTCAATGACTTTACAACCATTAATATCAAACATGACATTGAATCCTTTATTACAAAATTGACTAATACTCAAAAGATTATGCTTTAATCCATTCACATATAAAACATTCTTAATTTGTATGGAAGAGGTATTACCGATAGTACCAATACCTTCAATGTGACCTTTTGAATCATCACCAAAAGTCACTTCTCCTCCATTTTTGGCATTAAGCTCAATGAACTGGTTTTTGTCTCCGGTCATGTGTCTTGAGCATCCACTATCAAGGTACCATGAATTTGGATTTGTTTCCCGTGCCTTGTAGCAATGCTCCTTTTCCTACAAACATAGATTAATTTCTAATTTTTAAGTACCCAAATTCTTTTGGGTCCATATTCATTAGTTTCCAAAATCCTAGTCCCCTTAGATATCCATTTGTGTAAGATATCCTTATCTTTAGTAGTAATGAGCTCCTTAGGAACTCATATACTTCTAACGATTTTTCCATTAAAGGTTCTTTGGGGACCTCTATGATTTTAGTTTTTAAAAATTTTTCTAGCAAAGTTGGATTTTGAATTTTCTCCACTTTCAAAACGTTTTGTTCCAACTTTATCAAAAGAAGCTTTAAGATAATCAATTTTGTTTTGATGATCATCATTGACCTTTGAAAGTAAATTTTGCAAATCTAAATTTTTCTTTTCAAACTCTTCTAGTTTGATTTGCAAATCTTTGATTTTACTTTCAAGATCGTTGTTGGTTTTGGATATGAGTTTATTTTCATTTTTTAATTTTGAAACATCATTTTTATATTTTAAAAACAATTTCTCATAATCCTAAGCCAACCCATTATATTCCTCTAATAGCTCATCATAGGATAAATCATCAAAATCAGATGAGTTAGAGGTTACCTTAGAATCTTCCCCGAATGCCATCAAGCACAAGTTTGCTACTTCTTGTTCCCCTTCATCGGAACCTTCTTCATCACTCCATATAGCCACATGAGCCTTGTGCTTATTCTTTGATTGACCCTTTATCTTCAATTATGGGCAATCACATTTGACATGCCCCGGCTTTTTGCATTCATAGCAAATGATCGGGTCCTTCTCTTTTGGTTCATTTTTTAGGCCTTCATTTCGTTTGAATTTTCTTCCTCGATAAGGTCTCATCATTTTTCTGAACTGTTTGGCAAACAATGCCATTTCCTCGTCATCGTCATCTTCATTCGAATCACTCTTATTTTTTTTTGGATTTGAGAGCAACTCCAATATTTTTCTTCTTCTCCTTCTCCTTTGGTGTCTCTTCAATCTTATCAAGGTCCACCTCATCTTCAAGCATCATTTCATGAGTGAGGAGTGAACCGATTAGCTCTTCAAGAGTTAAGGATGTTAGATCCTTAGACTCGATGATTGCCGTCTTCTTTGATTGCCACGATTTTGGGAGGGAGTAGACTAACTTCCTCACAAGCTTTTCATTTGAAATGATCTCTCCATATGATTTGAGACCATTGACAATCGTTGAAAATCTATCTGTCATAGCTTTGATATCTTCATTTGATTTCATCCTGAAATTTTCATAGCTATGCGTTAGAATACTAATTTTAGATTTATTTATCTCATCGGTACCTTCATGATTGACTTGAAGTTTGTCCTATATTTCTTTGGCGGTTGTACAAGATGAAACTCTTCCGTATTCATCTGGTCCAAGAGCACAAAATATGATATGGATGGCTTTGGAATTGAGCTGGAACATTTTTGTCTCTCCTTCTCTCCATAATCTTGGATGAGTGAGAGGCTTGAAGTATCATTCTTCTACGACATTCCATGCTCCCATGTCACTTGCTTGAATGAAGTACATCATCCTATTTTTCCAATAGGCATAATTAGCCCCATTGAAGAAAGGAGGCTTGTTGACGGGCATCGAATCAAGACTGGAGTCGAAGTTTGAAGTAGAGGCCATTGATGACTTTGATTATCGATGTAACTCTTCCCGAATCGACTCAAGAGGCGATTAAACCTTCAAATGAGTTAGGCTCTGATGCCAATTGTTGAGTTAATCGATTGACAGAATTGGCCAAGAGGGGGGTGAATTGGCAATAAAAATTTTGGTGGAAGCTTTTGCAGAAAATTGAAAGAAATTGCACAGCGATTTAGAGTGGTTCGACTTTCTCAACCAAAGTCTACGTCCACTACCTTAGCTATCCACACTAAGGATTTTCCACAAATTCACTAATTTGTCTTTCTTTTGAGGACAAAGAGTAACCTTACAAACCCTCAAGAATTATACCCCAAATTCTTGAGAACACTCTCTCCCAAAGAGAACAATACAAATTTGCAAACTTACAAGCAAATCCTCACAAGGTAGATTGTTTGCACAATTCTAGAACAAAGAAAAGAACACTCAAGAATGAATACAATTGAGCACAATAAGTGTTCTTGAAAGCAAAATGAATATTGAATGAAAAATAGGCTTGAAATGCTCAAACTTGAGGTTTGATGCTTTCTCTTTGATTCTCTCTTGATTCTAATTGCTTGATGTTTCTTGTTATTGATCAATGGCTTCTAAGCTTGCTTAAATACACCTTGAATCACTTTTGAATGTTGGGGATCATTAATGAAGATAATATAGCCGTTTTAGTGTGAAATCAATTAATAAAACAATTTGGAGCGTGGGGGGAATCGGTACCCTCTATGGGGAATCGGTTCCCTAAGTGTAAAATTCAAATATTTCGACCGTTACACAGGGGGGAATCGGTACCCCCTAGGGTGGAATCGGTTCCCTCCGAGCATTCTGGAATTCTCGGAGCCAAACCATTCAGGGGGAATCGGTTCCCTCTGAGCAATCTGGAATTTTTGGCTTTGAAATTGTTCGAAATACTTTGTAAAATTATTTTGAAATTGTTTTAAGATTAAAACTTAATTTTACACTTGAGTAAGGATTAAAAATGATTTTTGAAAGATTTAGAGTAATGTTTTGATATTCGATTAATTATATCGAATATACTTAGAAAACCTTATTGCACAATCTTAAAGTTCATTTAACTTAATTTGTTATATCGAAATATCAAAATGTTTTCAACACGGTGACTGTCGGTCTCGATGAGGATTTCTTCATATAACTAGTTGTGACTCCTCACTGTCATCACCATCATCATCATCGTCGTCGTCGTCGTCGTCATCGTCATTGTCATCATCGTCAGGAGCAGATACATTTTGTTGATGAGGAACTGATTACGATGTAGCACCTCCATAGAATAAAGACCATGAAGGTGTATGACTGACTAACCCACCGCTCATAGAAAACTAGGAAAACTCATAAAACACAGACATCGATGAATGAGAAAACTGTACAGGAGGTGTTTGTGCGGCCATCAGTGATGAGACTGCACCCGCCAAATAACCAACATATGAACCCCAAGTCAGATCTACAAACATATACCCATAATATCATCTAGGAGGGGTCATATAACTCTGACGGTGGCGGCGGCGGCGTCTGGTAAGGGAAAGCCGGTAGCGGCATCATATATGGCTGCAACATGTAAGTCGCTGCACATGGTGGCTACTGTGAAGGTCCTGTTGGTGTAGCTGAGGACGAACCGGAAGCACCTACTCTCCGTCCACGAGTTAGGGGACGATGGGGTTGTGACGGTGCACGTCTCTGTCGACGTCTATGAAAGCTCCGCCCTTGTGCATCCTCGGAAAGAAGAAACAGTTTCCCGTCACTGTTGAATCACTCATAATAATCATCTGTAACCGTCAAGAGGTCATCATAGATGGGCTCTCTATACGGCTTCATATCTAGCTATGTGACCGAATCCAACTTCGACTAAATACGGCCAGACACTGGTAGATATCGTTAACTTAAGATTCCTAATAAAAAGATCTAATATATTGTTGCTCTCCAAAAATATTCATAATTACAAAAATTAATTTATAAACTAATAATCATGCATTAAATAAATAAATTATTACTAATAATTTAAATTAAATTAAAATGTAAAAATGTTACCGTATCAGCTAAATGTCGAGATATATGATTTCCATCCAAGCGAAGTAGTATGTCTTCCATTTTATAACTGAAAAAAATTAATTAAATAAAATATTAAAAAAATTAAAGAATTAAATAAAATACTAACAAAATATTAAATATAATAAAATTTACCTTAACGAGCTATGAGAGAATAAGAGTATTTGAGAGAAGTTGAGAGGATTTGATATGATGAAAGTGATTGAGAATGAAGGTATTTATAGGGGGAATGGGGGTGTGAACACTCGGGGGTGGGAAATTAATGGAAGGCGCGATACATGCACCGCGCCTTCCTGACACGCGTCAAACTATCAGAAAGGCGCGGCTCATGCACCGCGCCTTAGCCAGTGTGTACCCATGTCAGCATAAGGCGCGCTTCATGGGGTGCGCCTTACCCCGTGGCGTTAGATCAACGTAAGACACACTTCATGGGATGCGTCTTTTTGTAAAGAGTATTAGATCGGTAAATAAAGATGAAAGGATGTCTGACAGGTAATTAAAGTTTTTATAAGATGATTTTCGGTGTAATCGACCAAAAAAAATAATGTGCAATAAAAAAAAAAAAAAGGAGAGGCCAAGTTTACTTTTGGGATGAGGTTAGAGTTTGGGGTTAGAATTGACTGTAGAGTCGTCCAATCCAAGTAGACAAAAGGCAATCCACAAATAAAAGTTCCTTCGGCTCCAATAACAGCCTCATCTGCCAAATCCTTTCATTTCTCTTATCTCCTTTCACTCGCTATACTGAGAACGAAAGGAAGCGAGAAATGGAGATGGCAATTAGCTTCCATCATTCTTCTTTCAAAGCTCCCTCCATTATTCCTAACCCTAAATTCCCTTTTCCCACGCAACTTTCCGGTCTCAGCTTATCTCCGATTTCCTCCTTCAACTCCAGAACTGCATCTCTCAAATTCCGTTCTAGGAACTTGACTGAACCTGTCAAATGCTCTGTTTCTCAGGCTGCTCAACCTGCCATTGGTATTTTATTTCGAATTTCCTTTTGAATTGTATTTTTTTCCTGAATCTTTTGTTATTGGTTTTAAAAGTTTGTGGTTGGTTAATAGAGAATAGGAGCCAGTTAAAGAGGAGAAGCGATATAAGGAACATAGCAATCGTGGCGCATGTTGATCATGGAAAGACTACTTTGGTCGATGCGATGTTGAGACAGTCTAAGGTGAACCAATCTGGTTTTTATACTTTGAAGTCGTTCATTATTTATATAGTTTCTTTATGGTATTGTTTCTTTTTTGTTTGCGTCCTGTCTATTTGGTATTCTAATTTCTGGATTTGGATTGAGTATATTTCGTTCCATTGGTGCTGCAATGAAGACTGCTTTTAGATTGGATTCATTTGAAGAATCTGTCATCTCGTTTAGTCTCAAAAGACTATTTTTGCGATTGTTTTTTAATTGAAGCTAAAAGGTGAGAGTTAAAAACCCATATTTAGCCTCGATTTTGCTCACTCCAATGGAGAATTACTCAACATCTGGACTAAAAGGATGTTGAAATTGATATGGGAAGGAGGCTCCAGGGATTGGACAGTGGGGGGAGTTTATGCGCTCTTTATCTGATAGAGTTGTATTCTATATAATCTGAAATTTAATAGTGGAAGAAGATGGGACCTGGTCTCTAAACAAATTGCATGCGTTGATAATAAAACTCTCTGTTATGATTAAGCCAATTTTAATGATAATTCTCACCACTCATTTTCTCATACAGGTTTTTCGTGATAACCAATTCATACAAGATAGAGTAATGGACTCAAATGATCTCGAGCGTGAACGGGGTATCACAATTCTGAGCAAAAATACATCTATCACATATAAGGACACAAAAATTAATATAATAGATACTCCTGGACATTCTGACTTTGGAGGTGAAGTTGAACGCATCCTCAATATGGTTGAAGGAGTTCTTCTAGTGGTACTGTTTCACACTTTCTCTTTCTTGGAATTTCATCTTTTCAATCCCAATTGTTGCCCCTGTATGGATATTCTAAATTTTTTCTTCTAATGAATTGTAGAAAATATAAAAAATGAAATTCAGATTCTTATAATTATTTATCTGAAGCCATATAGTTTTCTTTATATCCTTACTTGAGATTGGTCCCTTGTGCCAACAATGCCTTCATATGTTTTCACAAGGAACCTTCACCATTAAAATCCATTTTTGTTTGAAAAAAAAAACCTTTTCTGTAATATATATATATATATATATATTTTGAGAAATTTATAAGCAACATATCAACTTCATGCTGCCTTTTTCATATCCTTTACTATTCTTTTTACAAGTATGTTCCATTCATGTAGAACTGCAGAACATTTATTTGTTATCTGAAAGTCAACTGAGAGTGGTTCCAATGTTGAAAATGTGTGAGGTTCAGTTTTACTTTACTGTGGCCCAATTAAAATGATTGAGATCCTTAAAAAAAGGTTTGTATGAAGCATATGTTGTAATGTTTTAGATGGTGCTAGGCGTTGGGCTTATTGTTTTTCTAAGAAACATGTCATTTTCCTTCAATTATACTGGTCTACTTTTTCCCCCTTTTCCCTTCATGAATCCACCTTATTTTCTAATCAGCTAATAGTTGGATCACACTCATATATAATTGGTTGCCAAACAAAGTTGATGGAGGATTGTATGCTGTATCCTAGATGGGATTGTCTTCATCATGAACTAAAGCAGCTTCTTCTTGCTTTTAGGTGGATTCTGTTGAGGGGCCAATGCCACAAACAAGGTTTGTCTTGAAGAAGGCTCTAGAGTTTGGCCTTGCTGTTGTTGTTGTTGTAAATAAGATTGACAGACCATCCGCTCGTCCTGATTTCGTTATCAATTCCACATTTGAACTGTTCATCGAACTAAATGCTACAGATGAGCAGGTACTGATATTATGTGTTGAAAGGAGTGACTAGCTTGCGGTTCATGTGCCATGTTGTATCCAATAGCTCTTCATATTGACCAATATTGTGACAACATTTCTGAACATTTTTTTAATTGTAAGAATTACTGTTTAGTATTACAAGAAATGATATGATATGATTAGGATTTTTTTTTTACTTTACTTTTTTAAACCCGAATATAAATTTGAGTCTTAGATCTCTGCAAGTAATGGCATCTTTATGTTTTGGATCTTTGAATCTTTGCTGATGTCTCAAAGTCTTTGAAAAATTCCATCTAAACACATCTTGTGTTAAATGTTCTACGTATGCAGTGTGATTTTCAAGCAATATATGCCAGTGGTATAAAAGGGAAGGCAGGATTATCTCCTGACAATTTGGCAGAAGATCTTGGGCCCCTCTTTGAGTCTATAATCAGATGTATACCTGGTCCACATATTGACAAAGATGGTGCACTGCAAATGCTTGTTAGTGGTTTTTCCCACTCACCCGGCTCTCATTTATATCCTGCTTTCCTGTTTAATTTTGGTTATAGCACCTAAAACTATGTTATACTCACTTGCATTCAAATCAGATAAGGCCAAAATGTTGTTATGGTTACATTTAATTGAATATTTGCTTAATCTTTAGTCTTTATTTTTCTCTCACAAGCACTTTTTCTTTTCAAACTAAGATTAATCTGTGAACTTTTGACAAGAAAGATACTTGCCACTTGTCCATTTTCCTAGAAATGGGTTACATGTGATCGATATAATAGTAAATATATATGGATACGATTAGCAGATTAAATGTTTGCTTGTCTCAGTATGCAATATTTGGTATTGGACATACATCTATATGAACTTAGAAGAGAGATATATTTCATTTTGTTACAATAATAGAACTTTATTGGATGAGACAAGGAGTTTTAAATAAATGGTTCCCTTGCAGTTAATTTCAGGAACTTCATTTGTTTTGGAACTGAGAAAGCCCAAGCTTCAGATTGACTGAAAAAACACTTATGTTGAAGATTAGAATCCAATTGCTTATTGTGAACAAATCAAAACATACTGAAATGTAGGAGAAAACATTGTAGAAGTTTGTTCTTGCCCGAGGAAAATAATGAAAATTACATGTTTTCTCCTTTTTATTTTTAGTCTGTATCTAAGCATTCTCTAAATTTTATATTTTCAGCACAAGTTTATAACTGGAAAGTTCTGTTCATGTGTTTTAGGCCACAAATATTGAATATGATGAACATAAAGGACGCATAGCTATTGGGCGCTTGCATGCTGGTGTTCTTCAGAAAGGAATGGAAGTAAGGGTAAGTTTGAATATTTTCTGGAGTATGGTTTGAAGATCTTTCCTCTTGTAGATATATGGAATTTGATTAATTTTGATTATCCAAAAGAAAGAGAGGTAGGATTTTAAGAATATCCTCAAAATAATGAGCCTTTGTTAAGGGCACAATAAAATTTCATCATCCCTGATGATCACTGCCAATCTATATTGTTAACTTCATCATAACTATATATTAGACAAACCACTATTAGTTGTTTGTAAGGGTATGGTATGAAGGAGAAATTGAACAGTTTTTCTCTGTTTAATCATATGGCTTGAAAATTTTTAGGTGTGCACTTCAGAAGATTCGTGTAGGTTCGGAAGAATTTCTGAACTTTTTGTCTACGAGAAATTCATTAGGACCCCTGCTGAGAAAGTAGAAGCTGGTGATATTTGCGCTGTTTGTGGAATTGAAGATATTCAGGCAAGAGCCTATAAGTTTCCATGGATTAATTGATAAGTTCATGGTAACTAATTTAGTTTCTTTTATCAGATTGGAGAGACCATTGCGGATAAAGCATCTGGAAAGCCATTACCTGCCATTAAAGTGGAAGAACCAACTGTGAAAATGGCTTTTTCTATCAACACTTCACCTTTTGTTGGCCGTGAGGTATGCTAATTGCTAACTGAGAACCTATGAGTCTTGAAAGTTGCTTTCCCTCTCTATCTTTTACTCATTAGTCATTTGTCTCACCATTGTTTAAACTCAATTCTACTCAAGTAAAGAAAGCTTTGTTTATTTCCCTAACATTGGTACCCTCATGATTCTCCCATACTTTTCTAGGGAAAATATGTTACTAGCAGGAACCTACGAGATCGGCTCTACCGCGAACTTGAGCGAAATTTAGCAATGAAAGTTGAGGACGGAGAAACTGCCGATACATTTATTGTTAGTGGGCGTGGTACTTTACATATTACCATACTGATAGAGAACATGTAAGTATAAGCTTTTTTGTTTCTTTTCGATATTCATATGCACATTCTTAAGTGATGATGCTTTTCAGGCGAAGAGAAGGGTTTGAATTTATGGTGGGACCACCAAAAGTTATTAACAAAAAGGTTGACGACAAGTTGCTTGAACCATATGAGGTGATTTTTTAATTCTAATTTTCATAAATTTTATGTACTTTGTTTGTAATCAAGGGACCTTATATGATGCGGGTATGGATTCACCTCAGTTTCCTTTAATTGGAGTGTTTTGTCTTTATTCATAATGGATTTATCATATTTATTATATAAATATTTAAACCAAGAAATCAAACGCACTTACAAGGTGCAGTTAACTTAAATATTTGAATGTTGATTGATTCTCAAATTCTAAGAACTGATAATCATGAAGGCATAGGTGCTGAAGTGATGCAAAATTATGTCCTCGTGTTCAAAGCTTACTATAGCTTCCATCTCATATTCTTTGCTACAGTTTCCTTGGCTTGTTCTTTTTAGTCATAATAGAATGACTAGTATCAATAAAGGAAGCCGGCATGGTAAGGGGGAAACTTTTGTTCCCAGATGGGATACTACAATTCGCTTAAGATTATGTTTTCTGATTCTTATGAATAATTCACCAATGTTTTCATTGTATCAATATACATGAGATAAACTATATTGGTAATATTTGATCATATTACACTTTTTATGATTAACCCCCCTAATATGTGGATTCTTTATAGATTGCCACAGTGGAAGTACCCGAAGAGCACATGGGTGCTGTGGTTGAACTTCTTGGAAGAAGGCGTGGACAGATGATAGATATGCAAGGAGTTGGGTATGTCATTTTTTTCTGTGTTTACACGCCCATTAAGTTATGGGATACAACAGACGTTGAATGAAGGAATAAGTAGGTGGTATTTATTTGCTGAATCAAATAGCAAATGAACATATGATGGATGGATTGAGGAGCAAACAAAATCTGTAATCTTGTCTGGTTGATCTTAACCTTGCTGTCTGGCACATTTGAAATTCGGATAGGTGTTTATTAAATTTTTATTATTAAGAAGATGGACTTCTTCTAACTTTAAATAATAAACTTAATCAATGCTAATCAAATGCTTGTCACTGCCTGTTAGACTTTTAAAATGTGAACATATAGTGGAAAATATTCTTATATTATGGTGATTGTCACTTCATTTTGCTGCCTATTTCATCTATAAATATCTCCCCCGGGTATGAATTATGGCAGTCCATTCTTGATTTGCACATTATTTGATATGTCGTTCATGTACTTCTGATTTTATTTTCTAGGTCTGAAGGTACAACATTTCTGAAATATAAGATTCCAACACGTGGCCTTCTTGGACTGCGGAATGCAATCTTGACAGCTTCTCGAGGAACAGCTATCTTGAACACCATATTTGATAGTTATGGACCTTGGGCCGGTGATATTGTTACCAGGGATCTGGGTTCATTGGTAATTATTTTTTATCTAATCATATAATACTTGGATGCTTAAACACAAGTCATCTTTGTTGCTATGTTGTGGTTCCTGGACTACATCCATAGTGGTGTTATATTAGCCATATTGTGTTATTCATTTCCTTTAGGTAGTGTTTGGGTACTTGGATTTCAAATATAGTTTAAGTTGATTGGTAAAATACTTAGAAACGTAACATTATTTCTCAAATATGTGGATTTGTTAGATGCCCATTTGGTAGTGAATTTGAAATTCTTAAAATAATTTTGGATTTTGTTATAGTTTATACCCTAAATATTAGGGTTGATATATATTATATTTAATGTATGATATTGCATAGTTAATGCAGGATATTACTTTACATATTATAAGACCTTATATATATTACCCATAGTGTTGATGAATAAAATACAAGGAAATATTCTCTTCCTAATATTTTACAGATTTGATAAATCCATTTTTTTTAATTTTCAACTTTATAACTCACATTGAATGTCAACTATTTATTCATGATTTATACATTTCTGTACCAATTTTCTGTTGCTTGCCAGAAGTTTGAATTTCTCAGTTGGAAAGTTATTATTTGAATGATTGGTTCACATGAGATTGGTTTTCAGGTTGCTTTTGAAGATGGAAGCAGTACTTCCTATGCACTTGCTAGTTCACAGGAGAGAGGACAGATGTTTATTGGTCCTGGGGTGGAAGTTTATAAAGGTCAGATAGTCGGCATCCATCAGCGACCTGGGGACTTATCTCTTAACATTTGCAAGAAAAAGGCTGCGACAAATGTACGCTCCAACAAAGAACAAACAGGTTCGAAGTAGTTCCAGTATTTTGAATATTTCAATTAATTTCTTATCTGTTTCTTTTATTCTTTATACGTTCTACCTACTCGATCGACTTTATGGTAACTTTAACTGAATGGGAGTATGCTAAACTGAAAATGTGGCACAGTTTTTGTACTATTTTTAATGAGTAAATTACAGAGGATGACACTTTTGTTCGGTTTTATTCTGATTTTGATCACAAAATTTTAAAAAGCTGATCTTTTGGTTACTTACATTTAAAAAGGTAAATTACAGTGGAAGAATCGTTTTATTATGTCGTCGAGAGTGCCAGAGAGGTCAAGAAGCCATCCCTACCCCAGACTTGGCCCTTGCTTATAGATCACTTGCTAATTGTGCCAATATATTGCATCGAATTCCACTATGTTATGATCAACTCTAGCACATAATACATCTGAGTTGTTTATTCATAAGATTTGTGGAAACATTAATGTTATTGTAAATGGCATCTATAACAATCTGCCATGTATGATGTGTTTCAATTTGACATGTTTCTCAAATGTGTCCCGAGTCCCGACTCAGATTAAACAATGACATTATGCTACGAGTATAAAAAAATAAATAGATAAGATTCAGGTTTCTCATATTACCTCCTTCCTTTTTTTCTCCCTCCTATGTGTACCTGGTTTGCAATCCCTTGATCTGTTGATTTTGTAACTCAATTTTTCCTCACTATGCAGTGGTTCTTGATACCCCATTGGATTATAGTCTGGATGATTGCATTGAGTACATCCAAGAAGATGAACTGGTGGAGGTCACTCCCTCGAGTATCAGAATGTGCAAAAACCCTAAATTTGCAGCGGCAAAGAAAAGTCGGTAAATCCAGCCTTTTCTGATGTTGTTGGTCTACGAACAAAGCTTCCCCTTCATTGGCAACCTTTTTAACATTTCTGCATTTATTTCAAATTTTGTCATTCAAATCGCTCTTCGAGAAATTGATATTGATTGGGTAAACTATTTGAAGTTATTTTTTTGAGAAATTCTGGGTATAGCAGCTGTATATAATGATATAGGATGTAAGTTTCAAGGATATTATACAAGTCAATTGTATTGGGAAGGAAAAAGCTAGGAAACTTTTAAACCCCAGAGGAAGACAGACAATTGTTTCCGCTATTTTGTGAAAGTAGATTACATTTATGAACTTTTGATTTGTCAGTCATATCTGTTCGGAGTCTTTCTTAATCATTGGTAATACACACATTTTACTGACGTAATTGTTCGAATCCGAATGTTCTAGGAAAAATAATATTTCTTTTATTGCTGATTTCACTCAATAAGTTAAGTTCTTAATTTATATATAGCGAGACAAACTGCAATTTGACCCTACGTTATCCAAACATTATATCTCATATTTGGCAGATATGGGCATTTTCATTTTCGCTGCAGTTGAGTCAAACAAATGAAAGTATGATTTTGTTTTTTTAGGGTCAAATTTTGAACTCATTAAGTGGTTTTAGTGGTAAAGAAAATATTGTTCTCTCAAAAGATTTCAAGTTTAAACAGTTACGTCTGCAAGATTTATCTGCACTATCTAAAATGAGCCTTTAATTTAGTAAATTTTTTTATAACTTTTTCAATTAACTTGATCCTCAACGTTTAATCAACCATTTTTTTTAATAAAAGATGTCATGTAACTCGATTATGTCATATGTGATATATGTTCTCTTTAATTTTTTATAAGTTGCAGAATTTAATTGGACATGCCATTAGTTTTTAGAAAAAAAACATCCGACAGATAAAATGGTAACTAACTTAAAGTTGAATGACCAAATTATCTGTAAAAAGTAGTAAAAGAACAAGAGTTATAATTTAACTAAATTAGAGTGATTGAAATAGGTTTTTAAGCCAATTGTTTTCAAAATGAAAAATAGAACATGGCAGGAAGGGGAGGTATTATGATTTAGGGTTAGGTACAAAATTGTATTTCAACGATTAAAAGTTACAAAATGATCTCCTAATTATAAGATGTTGCTTTGTTGAGTCATTCAATGATTAAAAGTTACAAAGTAGTCTCCTAATTATAGGATATTGCTTTGTTGAGTCATTCAACGATTAAAAGTTACAAAATGATCATTCGACTATTCATATGTTTAAAACTTGTCATGTTCTGTTAAAAAATTAACATTCGTCTGAGTTGTGAATTAATCTACTAACCGAGATATGATAACATTTGATCCCAAAATCTCAAACGAGTACAATTTAAATGATTCTGAGATCAAATTTTTTCATATATCAGTCCCATCCCTACCCTACCAATAACAGTCCCATCCCTACCAATTTATTTATTTATTTTTCTTTCCTTTTTTCCCCTCCATTTGGTTCCTCAAGCAACGTCTCTTTCTTGCTGAATAAAAATAGAAGCTTGCTATATCTCAATGCTTGGATCTTTAAAAGCTTAGATTTTATTCTTTTTATCGTCTTGGGTTTAAATTCAAACACCCATTTGAACAAAAAAGAGAAAAAAATATTGAAAAAAAAGATAAAATGCAAAATCCATTTTCTATAGATTATGGTCAATCCGACAAGGCAACAGAGGCCATAAACTCATCGTATTAATTGATACAACTGGGAGAGAAATTGAGGAAAGATATGAGCTTGGGCGCGGTGAATTTGAGATCACATATCTTTGTGCAGACAAAGAAACAAGGGTCACTTTTCCATGCAAATCGATATCCAAGAAGAAGCTAAGGTCAACCGTTGACATTGAGGATGTAAGAAGGGAAGTTGAAATCATGAAGCATTTGCCTCAACACCCAAATATTGTTACCTTGAAGGCTACTTATCAGGATGAAAATGTGGTCTATTTGGTTATTGAGTTGTGTGAAGATGGTGAGTCGCTTTCTTTCTTTCTTTGCATTTGCCTCACCACCCAAATATTGTTATTCTTTCTTTCTTTCTTTCTTTCTTTGCATTTGCCTCGGCACCCAAATATAGTTATCTTGAAGGCTACTTATGAGGATGACTTTGCTGTCCATTTGGTTATGCAGTTGTGTGAAGGTGGTGAGTCACATTCTTTCTTTGCATTTGCCTCAGCAACTAAATATTGTTATTATTTCTTTCTTCCTTTGCATTTGCCTCAGCACCCAAATATTAAAAATTGCCATTTGTTTTGTCAGTCCAAGGGTTGTCCATATATTGAAAATTCCCATTTGTTTTGTCAGTCTTTTGTATTTAAATTCGAGTACATATACACGAACTAACCGATCATAGTGGTTAAGGAATCGTTATTATTACTTGAGGTCTCGGGTTTGAATACAAGTATACAGAGTATGAACATTCAATGTCAAATGATAGAAATTTTTGAACAAATATTATCTTGAACATAAACTTTTTCGATATAATTTCTCAGGAATTCATCGTTTCTGGAAATTGAGATATTTTACAAACAAAATGAAGACGCCAAAAAATAACATGCAAAAGTCAATTAGTACAACCTCGGAAGGTCCAATCATCCCCGAATGAATGCCGAATACTGTTGATATATACTATTTAACGGTTCCTTTAAATGTTTCAGGGTTTAAACATTTAAAGAAACCGTGAAATCTCCTCTGCCTTTTATGGTTTGATGGCTGTGGGTCTTACACCTTCTCAGCAAACAGCAACCGTCGTCTATTCTGCCTTTTACTCTGTGGAATCTCCTCCTCAGGTTTTCTCATCTAGAACCGGTAAGTAACACAATTCTTTCTACATATTTTCCCGTTATAATCAAGGACCAACACAAAATAATTTTATGTCAAGAGTGAACTTGTAAAATTTTAAAAAGATAGAAATAGATTATCAATTAAATAATACAAAAAATATAGATTATATAAAATTTGAAATTTTCATGGGACGAGCGTTTCCGTCAATTCTTTCGACAGAGACCGATCTACAAATTTAAAAATAAGTTTAAAAATTTTAATACTCATTTTTTCAACAAAATATGTATGCAAATTTTCTTATTCTTTTTCCACTTTTTCTTCATACATCAAACTATATTCGATAATTTATCCAAAATAATGGGTATGTACTTGACTCCCTAAGAGACAGAGTGCATCCACCTTTGCCTCTCAATTCATTCCTACTTACAATCTTTAATAGATCATGGTTAACTTGCTAGAATTTGTAGGGATGAATAAAAGGGATGAATGAGAGAATTACTCTTGAAAATTTTAAATTTTCACATATTTTAGATTTTTTATATTTTCTGTTAATAATATGATTGGAGTAATTTGTTTAAAGAAATTTGTTTTGGAGTGCAGAGAATTCCAGGATGGTGGATCTGGTTCTACTACATTTGCCCTATTGCATGGACTTTAAAGGGCATTATAAGCTCACAGCTGGGGGATGTAGAAACCATAATTGTTGAACCAATATTTAAAGGAACCGTGAAAGAGTACATATCAACGGTATTTGGCATTCATTCTGGGATGGTTGGTCCTTCCGTGGTTGGACCTTCCGAAGACTGGAGGGAAACCAGAGACTCCTCAACCGTCACTTGAGGAGAATGAAATCATTTTGCTCAACATATCCTGAAATTCTAACAAATGTTTTATGTTCCTTTGGTACCCTGATATCTTAATATCTCCATCAATGTATCCGCCGGTTTTCCTTGCGGAAAGCACATCCAACACAGTAGTCTTTCCTGCTACAATCAACCCGACTAAGGCCCTAAGAACTTCCGGTCTGAATACTCCGCTAACATTCGATAGGAGCTGCAATCCCGTTTCAGGTATTCCTTGTGCTTTCATTTCCTGATATATTCAATCAAACGAAAACAAGGGTATTGAAATATGAGGTTTCACATCAATAAAAGATATATACAACAATCATACCTTAGGCATATCAACAAAGTAATTAAGATTTTGAAAAGTCATTGCTAATGGTTGAAATGGAAGAATCATTCTCTTCTTCCTGCTGCCTTCAGCAGATGGAGCTTCCGATTTTGACTTTTCATTTCCAACTGTCAAGATGTTTTGAAATTTTTGAAGGAATTTGCAGAATCTTTTAAAAGAGGCACATGAGCCTTTATGAGTCTGAAATATGATGATGTTACATGTACCAAAGATTACTAACCATTGTTTGTAGCAGAACCTTGTTCTGTGTCGTCAGGTACAACCGTCGGGCTTTATTTAAAGCTGCCGCGAAGAGAAGAAGAAGGATATGAGAGAATCTTCAGACACTAAACCATAAGTAAAAGGATATATAACTCACGATTCAGATAGATCAGAGCCAACGTGACGACGACGTTGAAAAACACTGCATCAAATACTAACACACCAACTCCAAGCCAATACAAATATTCATGTCATAACCATTTAAAAAAAAAACAATTATTAAGTTAAAAAAACAATTATGACTATTATTTAAAAACTGGTGATTTGAAATTAATTTGAATTAAATTTAAAGGAGTCGACATCGACCTTTGAGATAGATAGACCGAGTACCTAAAAACGTATTTTAAAACAATTTTAAGAAAAATCATTTTATAGACAAAAATTAGTCAATGTTTACCAAAAATATGATTTAACGAGTTCGAGAGTCGGTTACGCATGGGAATGACTAACATCCCTACAGCGCCCAAAATTGGTATTTCGTCGCTTATACATTGTCGCAATAGTGGAAATTATGAATCGAATATAAAGTTAAATTAAGATCCATGCACTTAACATTGATTAATTTATTTCGAATTATTTATTAGGGAAAATTATTTAATTTGAAAAGAAATATCGAAATTAGCAATCCTCCATCAGGAAAACAATTTCGTATTTTTCTTGTCTAAAAAGAATATCCCCTCCTAGATAAAAGCGCGAATCGAAATTGAAAATCGACACTTGCATGCAAAATAAATTGCCACAAAAAAAAGGCGTCGGATCATTTGAATAAAAAAAATATTTAATTAGTAAAATAAACTAGATTTATTTCAAGTTCTTATTTTGTTTGAATGTCGTATCGGATTGCACTACTTCGATCAAGCAATGCTTTCCACGCCCATTG